TAATGTTCATCGACTTTAATTTGTTGTTCTTATTTGACTTATGTTCAACACAACAATAAATAAACTAACTCATAAATGATTTTGAGCTTATCCATATTTGGCTTTCTGATTAACAAATAAGCACAACAAAATTATTCTATCTGCTCATTGCGTTTTATGCCAAAAACCTTAACAAGGCTGAACAAATATTCAGTCCTATCATTAATTTCATGATGGGAAGAGAATTAGAGAAGGCAGAACTGTACATATTAATTAACCAAAGAACTCAGCAACTTCTTCTTCAATTGCGCTCAACCTTTGCCTTTGATGACCTCGCAACACTGTTCTTCTCACCCAAACCATATTTCAAACTTCCAACACTAAATTCATTGATCCTTTTATAGCAATCGAAATCCATTGTTTCTACAATCGGCATAACCTCAGCAACCGTTCTCCTCCTCCTAGTTCTTCCACGGCTCCTCGCGGTCGTCGTCGATGCCACAGCGACGAAGGCAGAGCTAGCACTGACGGCCAACTCCACCATGTCTGCCACCGTGAGGCGATATTCGAGCTTCCCCGGCGGCAACACGAAGTAGAGATGACCAAGCTCAATGAAACGATCGGAGCCCAATGCTTGAATGAACTGGCCGTAGAAGATGCTGTCGGCGTTACAGACGAAGCAGGAGGAGGATTTGTTGAGGCCTAGAACATGGGATACTTTGACGGTTTGTGAGTATTCCATGAGTGTGCCGTCGAGATTAATCACTTTTGCAGTTGGCAGACTGTTGGTTGTTGGGGCGGCGACGGCGGCAATGGTGGATGAGGAGAAGCAGGAACCCATGTGTTGTTTAGCTTTGACAGGGGAAAGGGATCGGCTTTGGGATAAATAGGAGTTTAGAGCAGGTGACGTCTGTAAATTCGCCACTAAAATGCCGTCGCTTTCAGTTGACGCGACTATTGATGTGGCTTAATTTATCTGTCACTGATGACGAAGGTTTTGTTTTTGGTTTCTTTAGGTGCAAGACAAGCAATTTTACGAGAAGTAACGAGCGAATTTCTGTTTGACCAGGAAG